ACATCCAAATTATTTTTAAAAATAGACTCGCCATGAACACCGCACATGCGCTTTACAGGCTGCATGTCACAGACACTGGTTCTTATCGCGCTTTAAAGCTAATTAGGGACTTTAAGCAGTCAGGACGGCAACGCCACGGAAGACGTCGATTAAAAAATGAGTTTCTACTTTTAGTTAGAATTTCGAAAATGGCTGGATGTGTTTACCGTCTCATAGGGCGCCAGACGTCAAACTCAACATAACGCATAAAAGTAGCGTTGAGTTCCACATGTAAATTAGAATAATTTGCCGCCGCGGTTTCGCCTCGCAGACGACGCAAGTTTTGGTGATTTCACGTTGTTGTTTTGCGAAGGACGGCTAAGAAATGTACAAAGTTTAAAACGCACGTGCTGGGCTATTGTTCTGCCAATTAGATCTATTGTTTTCCCACGTTCTCGTTGCCGTCGCCGTCGTGGTTTGCTTAAAGTCCCTATTAATGTAGCAGTGATACGTGCTCATTCTGTTTTTTCTCGGGAGTGTGACTTCGCAATTGAAGAGAAAGCCTTTGACTGCAGTTGGGAAGGGTAAGTAAGGGTTCTTTTGATTAATTCTTGATAGTAGCGATGAAATGCAACAATCTCTCTCCTTTTAAATTACGACAATTTCATTGCCTTGATCGTCGTTGTTTTGTTCTCTGTTGCTAAAAGACTGGGAAGCGGAACGGATTTTCCGTTCGTTGCCCGTGATATATTTTCGGCGATTTACCGTCTCGGTCGCTCTTTATAGTTTTGAAGAAGTGTGTCGCAGCGAGGAATTCTTTCCATTTGTTGTTCCTTAACGGGTTGAGGCATTTCTGTTCTCCTCGTGGCCAAAGCGTCGGAAACAAACTGATCGCCGATTTTCGGTGAATGTGAGCACATCAGATTTCTCGCATTGCATTTCTGCTATGCGAATGTTCGAATTCAGAAGACCCGCAGAATCTTAGCGAATGTTTATTGTAAAATAAATCGTAGCTCAAAATTCCACCAAATTATTTTCATTGGAGAATTTACATTTGATTGATTAAAATGGATGTAATTATCTGACGCAGTGTACACCGCACATGCGCTTTACAACTTGCATCCAGTGACCTCACGACAAAGGTATCATCGCTATAATTGAATGCTCTGTTTGGTGAATGATTTACTGCGTGTTGTCATCTGTTGTCATGTTTGATTGCTCGGCCATCATTGTTTATATTTATATGAAAATTTGTCCGAGCTCTTCATCTAGAAATTAGAATTGAATCTTAGTGCCAGCGACAGAAACAGTTATACTGCACTGCTGTGGCGACACTACGAGTTTGAATTTCCAAACAGTATTTTTGTGTTCTTCCACATGGTGTAATTTAATCGTTTAAAAAGAAATTCGAGCCCTTGTTATAAAAATATTGATCAATATTCACAGACACTAATTAAAAACGGACTCGCCATGAATACTGCACATGTGCTGATCACAGGTTCTTATCTCTTTTAAAGCTTAGGCAGCTGCATAGTGTGCATTCTTTGCTTTTGCCTTCAGTTGGGTGAAGGTTAAAGGTGGCACCTAGTGTAATATTATGGTAAGGATTCTTTTGATTAACTCTTGATGCAGGTTTGCTGCCAGCTTAAACACAGTGCTTCGGCATACCTGGACAATTGGCGCAAACTCCCGTATTTTTGGGTTGTCGATAGCCATAACAACTAACTTTGTTTCACAGTGCAATTTTATGAATTAAAATTCAAGATGAAGGTTATACATTCTGGCCGAAATTTTTATTGAAATATGTAAGCTTGGTTGGGACAATGCCTATCATGGATGAAATGTTTTGTGGAAACAAAAGTGACAGGAGAGAAAATTGTTCACTTGAATCAATAGTAGAGTGGTTAGCTATACTTCAAAGCTATTGTAAACAATCATGATGCATTGCTCATCACACAGGTCAACTTAAGGTAGGGATTTTTATATTTTGATACTTTTGGAAACATCAGTTACGTTTTGAGTGCACTTTTGTTGTGGTCTATTGTGTAATCTTATTTTAAAAGAAATAATAGTCTCAGTTACATGTTGTGGCATGATAAGAATGTTTCCAATGATTCAAGTTCATCCCAGATTTTAGGGGATCAGTTTCTTAGAATTTCTACTTTGGTTCATGCATTGCCATTGCAACTGTTCAGGACAATTTCAATGCCTTGATAATCGTTATTTTGTTTTCGGTCACCAAAGGGCGAAAAAAGCTCAGCACAAACTTCTGTTCATTTCCTTTGATTTCAAGTCTATTTCAGTGAGTTGATAAGTTGATGACATTCAATGGTTTTCCCTCTCGATCATCCTTTAAAGTTTTAAATAGGTGTGTCACTATATGAAAACCTTTCTACTTGTTGTTCATTTTTTACAGTTGGAAGCTTGTCTGGCCTCCTCGTGACCGATGCATAGGAAATAAACCGGTCGCTGACTTTTGGTGAATGTGAACACTTAAGCGACTAATTTTAATTTCCGATTTGGAGTACACCATCCAAATAAATAAATGATTATAAGAAGAGCCTCATAGTTTCGCCTCCGGCCGTTTTCAAAGTTGGGTTTAAAAGTCAATGAGAGAGAATATCTGGGCCCTTAAATTGCACATTCGAAATGATTACGCGAGCCACACTTTGCAATTCTACAGAGTGTCAAAACCTTTTCAAACTTTCGTTGTTTCAAACTGTGTTACTATATTTGATTGCATAGTCACGCTTTGTAATTTTTGCCTTCATTCCTCCATTGACTCTGCTCTATCATTCCTAAAGTGAAATATTTATAGGGTGACTTAACAGGAAAATTTATTGTTGATACAGAACACACCTTTGTGTCATCAAGAAAAAAACTTTTAAACTGGTGAAAAGGACCTACCATTTGGTTGCCAGAGTGGGCATGATTTAGCTGACCTATTTCTGCTAGTTGGAAACAGCAACGCTTTGCCGGATTGTCTTGTTAATTTATTCCCGTTAATGAATTAACAATAGTAACTTGTTATTAACCTAGTGCAAGGGTTGTACTGGAGAATATTAGGGTGATTTAGCAAGAGGACGGAAACATTAGTTGACAAAGGCACGCGCAGCAAAAATACAGTAAGAAACGGTTGAGAATGTCGCCTAGTTTTGTTTCATAAGTGATTATCCGATACTCAGCTCTTTAAGGTACAAATGATGGGAGTCAACTGACTCCCAAAGACTGAACGAATTGTTTTTGCTGTGGAAAACTTCATGCCGATCAAATGATTTTAGTGAAATTGGAAGTAAAAAAATGAAAGTAACCTACACTATCTGAGTAACTTTTTGCAAAGGATTGGGAAACTACAAACAATTTTTAGTCAATGCATCGATTGCAACCCATTTGGTGACACATTTCTGTTTACAAAAAGTTTTTTAATAAACAACTTTGCACAGTTAACCTACGTGATTTGAGAAAGGAAAAAAAATGAATGTCATTTCATTCTTTTAGTGAAAACCTGTGACATTGGACTTGAAAATATTGCCCTTTTCAAGACCTCAGTCACAAGGTCCGAAAACCAGAGAATTTCAGTAATAGATTATCGGGTGAACGCTCTCTATATGCATTAAATAAATACAGTTTTATTTATCATTCCCTGGTTAGTTTTTTCAGAAAACAGTGCCACTGTGACATGATGGCTGCAGCGGTAAAGGATTCATTTACAAGAAATGTCACTTTACTGACGTTTGACGATTGTGGCAGGAGAAATGAAAACGTATATATACCCCGTAATTTGGAAAAAATAAGACGCTCAGGACAGTACAAACCCAATGTCCAGTTTCTTGCTACCGAGTCAGAGGTCGATGTGAAAGAAACACTCAAGGATGCGTTTCCAGCCTTTGACTTAAATGTGGGGTAAGTGAAAGTTTTTTTCTTTTTCAAAGTTGATCTTTTGATGTGGGAGAAACCACAAGGTTGCACTGTTTTTGTTGGAGATCTATTGGCTGGCGTTCAAACTTCTGTCCCCTATATTTTGTCAAGAGCTATTTTCATTTGGGATTTGTTTTGCTTGTTTCTTATAGTATGATATCCTAAAACTTCAACTGCATTTCACTATACGGAAAATGGGCGCAATGACGAACTAGAATTTGGATTGTCGTATGAAGTATCTCCAAAGCAGGCACAATGATCAAACCCCTTTCAGACACAAATACTCTTAATGTACTGCCTTTTTGACATAAGCTGATCAGTGTGAGAGTACGAAAAATCTTTGAAATAAATCTGATTTGAAAGAAATTTGACTGTGAGATCCCAAAGTCACCCAGATCTTCTATTTTTTTCCATTGATATCTCTAACTTATAATATGTATTTACTGATGATTTTGAGATGTATTGTTTTTAATGAACAGGTTTTCATGTGCAAAAATCACTACTAAAAGCAGCACCTTTGATTTTTGTGGTGAACATTGTATCTGGAATGGACGGAAAATCAGAAAGGAGATAAGAGGCAACTCTGTTCTCTACATTATTCTGAATAGACCTCCAAATGGTATGTACAATGTTAACACCTTTGTGCATGTGTATGGTTTGTGTATGAAATTGAAATTGGCTTCCTTATCTGTTCTTGGATATATTTGCATTTTAATGAAAATTTCAGCTCTTGATCTGTCCGCTATGTCTTTTTGGTGAAACATTTATTTTCTGCTAAGATTGATATAAATATTTGGCTCTGATATAGCCAAAGATCTTGAAAATACGCTGGAACCAGTGCTGCTTGCTGAATTATGAGTCGATTTATTCGGAGTTTCAGTATTTTCCCAGTAATGTTGGATATGTGTTCCAATGCTCCACCCAAAGGCCGGATTTGATGGTCATTTTTTTGTGAAGGGCAACATCAGCAATCTTGGCTTTCTACCCATTGACCAAGCTTTAAAACTTAGAACTTGAATACCTTTTCTTCTGAGTCATTCCTTCTCGAAAGTGTAATCTTGTTTAAAAACCTTTATATTCAAAGAGAAAACACAGTTTTGTCCTGAAGACAGCTATGAGCTTGGCAATTTTTATTTCATGTGTTTTTTTTTACTTTTTTTATTTTTTAGCTATACCCAACTTGAACCAATCTTTGTTGAGTGATTCAAGTGCATCAGTTATGGTTCAGAATAGCATGCAACCCCCAAATGCAGGTATAACATTAAGTAGATCAACTAATAAAATTAACAAATGATAATTGCCACAGCGTGCACTATTTAAACAAGAGTGTTTCTGTTGAGGAACTATAGGCTGATAGTTGGCCCACAGAAATTTGATGTTCTTAAAACATATATCTGCCCAAGAAGCAAAGCTTCGAGGGCAACTATGCTAGTTTAAAGAACATCAAATTTTCAAGGGGCAACTATCGGACCAAAAGTTCCGAGACCTAAACACTCTTTTGTCTTTATTGTTCACCACCAGATTTTCTTCCGCATGCCAGTTGAAAAACTGTCAAAACCCACTAAATGCAGATCAATCAAATATCTATTCATGCCTACAGCCTGTCATAAAATTAATGTCAATAATTTGCAACTTTATATGATATACCTGTCAGACTTAAAATGTCACTGTTTTTCCGATTTTTCTAACTTCTTGGCCATCAAACCTTTCAAAATCTTTTATTGCTGAGTACTATCCATCAGAGTACTTCTGCAGATGGGCACTATCCATCCGGGTTTTTCGGTGGATGGGTGCTATCCATCGGGGTATTTTCTGCAAATGAGCACTATCCATCTGGGTATTTTCTGCAGACTGGCACTATGGGCTCATAGCATCTCTCCGTGGATGAACACTATCGCGTCACGTGATCAATTTAAACCAATAAGAATCAGAGAAAATTTATTGGTGAACTATAATGAGTTAAGATGCACGTGGGAAGTTGTAATGTGTGAAAGAAGCGTAAGAGTCACATGAGGTGATGGCGTAGTTTGGTGTTAAATCAAGCAATGTCCACTTTTTGACAATTTATTTTGCTTCTTGTAACCTTTTTGTTTGAGTGCTGTAAGAGGAAATTCCTTGTGGGTCGCTCCCTGGGTGTGAAAGGGTTAAGATCAATTGATCAAACAATTGTATTGTACATTATCCAGATAGATTTAGAGCATTTAACATCTGTAAAATTGACTTTAATTGTTAAACCATGTACCCAAAAGTGGCTAGCTGTTATTACCCTGTAATGTAGCTGCTTGCAGAGAACTTGTTCAGCATTGAATTATGCGTACATCAAAACTTTAAGAGAACTTTTTGGATCAGCTTTTGACAAAAACACAGCCACATCTACATGTCGATCAGAATGGGATTATATCTTCCATTATAACAGTGATGATATACAGCTGTACGTACTGCAATTAGTAGATCAACAAAAGATATGTTTATGTAGATTATATGTAATATGTTGTATCATATAGATAAATGTGTCTCAAATGGGTTGACCACGTATAATAATTTACTTTAAATGGAGCAAGGATGAGAACCAACAACAAACTCAACCTACATGCTTGATGCCAAGTCCATAAATCAAACCTGGGCCACAGTTGTGATAGGTTAGCGCTCTCATCACTGCACCAGCACAGCTCACATATGTAGAAATATACTTTAAATGATAGACCCACACAATCTACACTGAAATAGGTGTTTTTATCTTTTAACAACAGTGAATACTTAAACACTAGGGTATATTGTTATTTTGTAATTTGAGAGGAAACTGCAGTTACATGGTTATTTAATTTTGTATCACTTTGATAAATAATAAGTGGGGCACAATGGTATTTCCACTAGAGAACTTGACAATTTTTATTTCTATACTCCTATTGCAGTGACTTTGCCATTCTTGAACCAGTCTACACGTGCTTCTAATAATACTAGTACGACTCAATATGAAATGCCAACCCAGTGTGGCTTTCCAGTTCAAGAAAGCAGCATCCCAGGTTCAGGGCCATCTAAACGTGAATCATTCAACCCTGTACCATTCTCCTGTTATGTTGCTTGTATGATGCTAGTTCTCATAAAGGATTGGGAATTATTCTGATAATAGCTAGCTGTTTTTACCCTGTAAAATAGCTGCTAGCAGAGAACTTGTTTAACACTGAATTATATGCGTACATCAAAACTATAAGGGAACTCTTTATATTCAGCTTTTTGTAAGAAGTGACATATTCTTACCAGATGTGTCCTTGTCATTCCTCTCCACGTCGCGAAGATGTTCTCGGAATTGGTCACCTAGTCTTCTGCCTGTTTCGCCAATGTAAATCTTTTTGCAATAAGTGCAAGTTATGCAATAGATTCATTTTTTGTGAAGGGCAACATCAGCAATCTTGGCTTTCTACCCATTGACCAAGCTTTAAAACTTAGAACTTGAATACCTTCTCTTCTGAGCCATTCCTTCTTGAAAGTGTAGTCTTGTTTAAAAACCTTTATATTAAAAGAGAAAACACATGTATTTCACAGTTTTGTCCTGAAGACAGCTATGAGCTTGGCAATTTTTATTTCATGTGTTTTTTTTTACTTTTTTTATTTTTTAGCTATACCCAACTTGAACCAATCTTTGTTGAGTGATTCAAGTGCATCAGTTATGGTTCAGAATAGCATGCAACCCC